CTGTCTGTTTACCTAGCAGTAAACAGAGGATTAGATATAGCTATGTGTGGATGCGCCGTGGTGGAGGCAGCAGTGTGTGGAGGCGCCGTGGTGGAGGCAGCAGTGTGTGGAGGCACCGTGGTGGAGGCAGCAGTGTGTGGAGGCACCGTGGTGGAGGCAGCAGTGTGTGGAGGCGCCGTGGTGGAGGCAGCAGTGTGTGGAGGCACCGTGGTGGAGGCAGCAGTGTGTGTGAGGCACTGTGGTGGAGGCAGCAGTGTGTGGAGGCGCCGTGGTGGAGGCAGCAGTGTGTGGAGGCCCGTGGTGGAGGCAGCAGTGTGTGGAGGCACCGTGGTGGAGGCAGCAGTGTGTGGAGGCACCGTGGTGGAGGCAGCAGTGTGTGGAGGCCCCGTGGTGGAGGCAGCAGTGTGTGGAGGCACCGTGGTGGAGGCAGCAGTGTGTGGAGGCACCGTGGTGGAGGCAGCAGTGTGTGGAGGCACCGTGGTGGAGGCAGCAGTGTGTGGAGGCACCGTGGTGGAGGCAGCAGTGTGTGGAGGCGCCGTGGTGGAGGCAGCAGTGTGTGGAGGCGCCGTGGTGGAGGCAGCAGTGTGTGGAGGCACCGTGGTGGAGGCAGCAGTGTGGAGGCACCGTGGTGGAGGCAGCAGTGTGTGGAGGCACCATGGTGGAGGCAGCAGTGTGTGGAGGCGCCGTGGTGGAGGCAGCAGTGTGTGGAGGCGCCGTGGTGGATGCAGCAGTGTGTGGAGGCACCGTGGTGGAGGCAGCAGTGTGTGGAGGCACCGTGGTGGAGGCAGCAGTGTGTGGAGGCGCCGTGGTGGAGGCAGCAGTGTGTGGAGGCGCCGTGGTGGAGGCAGCAGTGTGTGGAGGCCCCGTGGTGGAGGCAGCAGTGTGTGGAGGCGCCGTGGTGGAGGCAGCAGTGTGTGGAGGCACCGTGGTGGAGGCAGCAGTGTGTGGAGGCACCGTGGTGGAGGCAGCAGTGTGTGGAGGCCCGTGGTGGAGGCAGCAGTGTGTGGAGGCCCCGTGGTGGAGGCAGCAGTGTGTGGAGGCGCCGTGGTGGAGGCAGCAGTGTGTGGAGGCGCCGTGGTGGAGGCAGCAGTGTGTGGAGGCACCGTGGTGGAGGCAGCAGTGTGTGGAGGCCCCGTGGTGGAGGCAGCAGTGTGTGGAGGCCCGTGGTGGAGGCAGCAGTGTGTGGAGGCGCCGTGGTGGAGGCAGCAGTGTGTGGAGGCACCGTGGTGGAGGCAGCAGTGTGTGGAGGCACCGTGGTGGAGGCAGCAGTGTGTGGAGGCGCCGTGGTGGAGGCAGCAGTGTGTGGAGGCCCGTGGTGGAGGCAGCAGTGTGTGGAGGCCCCGTGGTGGAGGCAGCAGTGTGTGGAGGCCCCGTGGTGGAGGCAGCAGTGTGTGGAGGCCCCGTGGTGGAGGCAGCAGTGTGTGGAGGCCCCGTGGTGGAGGCAGCAGTGTGTGGAGGCGCCGTGGTGGAGGCAGCAGTGTGTGGAGGCCCCGTGGTGGAGGCAGCAGTGTGTGGAGGCGCCGTGGTGGAGGCAGCAGTGTGTGGAGGCACCGTGGTGGAGGCAGCAGTGTGTGGAGGCACCGTGGTGGAGGCAGCAGTGTGTGGAGGCGCCGTGGTGGAGGCAGCAGTGTGTGGAGGCGCCGTGGTGGAGGCAGCAGTGTGTGGAGGCACCGTGGTGGAGGCAGCAGTGTGTGGAGGCCCGTGGTGGAGGCAGCAGTGTGTGTAGGCGCCGTGGTGGAGGCAGCAGTGTGTGGAGGCGCCGTGGTGGAGGCAGCAGTGTGTGGAGGCGCCGTGGTGGAGGCAGCAGTGTGTGGAGGCCCCGTGGTGGAGGCAGCAGTGTGTGGAGGCACCGTGGTGGGAGGCAGCAGTGTGTGGAGGCGCCGTGGTGGAGGCAGCAGTGTGTGGAGGCACCGTGGTGGAGGCAGCAGTGTGTGGAGGCACCGTGGTGGAGGCAGCAGTGTGTGGAGGCGCCGTGGTGGAGGCAGCAGTGTGTGGAGGCCCGTGGTGGAGGCAGCAGTGTGTGGAGGCACCGTGGTGGAGGCAGCAGTGTGTGGAGGCCCCGTGGTGGAGGCAGCAGTGTGTGGAGGCACCGTGGTGGAGGCAGCAGTGTGTGGAGGCGCCGTGGTGGAGGCAGCAGTGTGTGGAGGCCCCGTGGTGGAGGCAGCAGTGTGTGGAGGCCCCGTGGTGGAGGCAGCAGTGTGTGGAGGCCCCGTGGTGGAGGCAGCAGTGTGTGGAGGCCCCGTGGCGGAGGTAGCAGTGTGTGGAGGCCCCGTGGTGGAGGTAGCAGTGTGTGGAGGCCCCGTGGTGGAGGCAGCAGTGTGTGGAGGCCCCGTGGTGGAGGCATCAGTGTGTGGAGGCCCCGTGGTGGAGGCATCAGTGTGTGGAGGCCCCGTGGTGGAGGCAGCAGTGTGTGGAGGCCCGTGGTGGAGGCAGCAGTGTGTGGAGGCCCCGTGGTGGAGGCATCAGTGTGTGGAGGCCCCGTGGTGGAGGCAGCAGTGTGTGGAGGCCCCGTGGTGGAGGCAGCAGTGTGTGGAGGCCCCGTGGTGGAGGCAGCTGTGTGTGGAGGCACCGTGGTGGAGGCAGCAGTGTGTGGAGGCCCCGTGGTGGAGGCAGCAGTGTGTGGAGGCCCCGTGGTGGAGGCAGCAGTGTGTGGAGGCCCCGTGGTGGAGGCAGCAGTGTGTGGAGGCACCGTGGTGGAGGTAGCAGTGTGTGGAGGCCCCGTGGTGGAGGCAGCAGTGTGTGGAGGCCCCGTGGTGGAGGCAGCAGTATGTGGAGGCACCGTGGTGGAGGCAGCAGTGTGTGGAGGCACCGTGGTGGAGGCAGCAGTGTGTGGAGGCCCCGTGGTGGAGGCAGCAGTGTGTGGAGGCCCGTGGTGGAGGCAGCAGTGTGTGGAGGCCCGTGGTGGAGGCAGCAGTGTGTGGAGGCCCCGTGGTGGAGGCAGCAGTGTGTGGAGGCCCCGTTGTGGAGGCAGCAGTGTGTGGAGGCCCCGTGGTGGAGGCATCAGTGTGTGGAGGCAGCAGTGTGTGGAGGCCCCGTGGTGGAGGCATCAGTGTGTGGATGCACCGTGGTGGAGGCAGCAGTGTGTGGAGGCCCCGTGGTGGAGGCAGCAGTGTGTGGAGGCCCCGTGGTGGAGGCAGCAGTGTGTGGAGGCCCGTGGTGGAGGCAGCAGTGTGTGGATGGCCCGTGGTGGAGGCAGCAGTGTGTGGAGGCCCCGTGGTGGAGGCAGCAGTGTGTGGAGGCACGTGGTGGAGGCAGCAGTGTGTGGAGGCACGTGGTGGAGGCAGCAGTGTGTGGAGGCCCCGTGGTGGAGGCAGCAGTGTGTGGAGGCACCGTGGTGGAGGCAGCAGTGTGTGGAGGCACCGTGGTGGAGGCAGCAGTGTGTGGAGGCCCCGTGGTGGAGGCACCGTGGTGGAGGCAGCAGTGTGTGGAGGCACCGTGGTGGAGGCACTGTGGTGGAGGCAGCAGTGTGTGGAGGCCCCGTGGTGGAGGCAGCAGTGTGTGGAGGCAGCAGTGTGTGGAGGCCCCGTGGTGGAGGCAGCAGTGTGTGGAGGCACCGTGGTGGAGGCAGCAGTGTGTGGAGGCACCGTGGTGGAGGCAGCAGTGTGTGGAGGCAGCAGTGTGTGGAGGCCCCGTGGTGGAGGCAGCAGTGTGTGGAGGCAGTCGCCTGCCTCAGGAGCTCCACATTGAAGTACACAGTAAATCAATAACATCAACAATTTACATAACACCTGCTACGCCCCGACAGTTATTCACTATTGAATCCGTGCGACTTCCAGTCAGAAAATATTGAAAAAAAAAAATCACGATCAATACGTAACTATTTTAATAAACATTCAGTTGCACCATTGTAAAATGTAGCATTGTTTTGAACTGAAAGGAAACATAACTGAAATAACAGTTAACGTGTAGTCTATGTAGACGTATAGGTTGTATAGTGTGTGTGTGTGTGTGTGTGTACTCACCTATTTGTGGTTGCAGGGGTCGAGTCTTAGCTCCTGTGTGTGTGTGTCCGGAACCCTGCATAACCATGACTTTATTCTATAAAGAACAGAAAGGCATAATACCGTGACTGGAACAATACACAAATAACCCGCACATCGGAAGGAGAAGCTGATGACGTTTCTGTCCGACTTGGATCATTTACAGTCACAAAAAATGACTTGTAAATGGTCCAAGTCTGACCGAAACGTCGTCATAGTCTTGTCTCTCCTATGTGCGGGTTGTGCACTTTCTGTAAACTATGATGAATGGTAAAGTTTTATCCTTCACAACGAGCAATCTAATAAACTGTTCTGATGTCTACCATACATAAAATAAAAGAATCATATATTGCAAAAGTACCGAATTGTTTAAGGCCGCATGGCACCAGCTGGCCGCATGGAACCAGCTGGCCGCTGGCTGGCCGCATGCGGCCCTTGACTAGCTCAATTTTGCGTACATAAATGTTCATAAAGTCGCCTCTTACGACACGCATGGCTTACGGAGGAAGAATTCTGTTCCACTTCCCCATATATCAAATATAAAAAAAAAAAATTCTATACTGTATATTGGCAGCCGTTGACAGCCTATTAAAGGCCATCAAATTTATTTTTATTAAATATCATTGGAAATTTACAACACCTTATCTGTCTAAAATACCGGAGTCTGCATGAATGTTGAAATGAGAAAATTGCATTCACTGCAATGCTTCAGAAATAATACAGTATTTTTGTTTTCCACTCTTTTTCAACATCACACTGGGAGAACCATCTTGAACTTGCCACCACTAAAATCATCTACAACACTGGGTACATTTTGTGTGGTGGGACCTTACCACTGCGAAGACGCAGTGGCAACGTCCAACCATCCAAAAAATATTAACCTAGTTCTTGCAAGTAACAAAAGTGGGCAATACACAAACACAGAGAAACCTCATGATGAAGGAGAATTACCACACGAATAAAAAATAATTTCGAGGCAAGAGAGTAAAGAAGAATGGAAAGCGAGGTATTAACACTCACCAGAGTCCTTATCGGTGAGTGTGAAGACGAAGGATGTGGCCTCCCTCAAAGAGGTCTTCCTGGGTCCCACAGACACGCATCCTTCAGGTTGACAGAAGTATATCACGTCCAGGGGCAGGGGAAAGTCCTGCCCACAACACAAACACAAATACTACAATACAAATTAACACACCCTCATTAGAATTTACCCTGCAACACCATTCTCTCAACCATCGTTATTAGCGGTTTAATGAGTTTGAGATCATTATTCATATAATTACTCAGAGCTTAATTAGTTAGGGATTATTTTTTCCCTAAAAATATCCATTATTTCGTTATCTTTCATTAATAAATAATTTATTTTGTATTCATAATGTAGCACGTGGAACTTAACCAAACCTCTTACTACAGCAAAGCCTCTCTGTTAATAACAGCAGCAAGTAGAGTAACCTCACTATTGTAGTTGGTAAACACATGAGCAGCAATCCGAAACTTTGTTAAGACTACGTTTCACTTGCACAGCAAGCTTTACTGTGCGGGTGAAACATGTATTAATCACAGCAATATGGCGATTACTAAGGTTCGAGTGTGCTCTAATCTTCTTTACCAACCCAACACTCATACTTGGGCTGGATAATTATCCAAACAGTATTAGCGTACCAATATGTGGAACATATTGGTAGCCTACCAATATGTGGAACATATTGGTACATATTGGTAGGCTAATACTGTTTACTTAGGTTAGGTTAGGTAACGTTCGTCAGGAAATAGGACAAGTGTTTCCTAGCGCGGGTCTTTGATGATGACCCGCCGTTGGAGCTTTCGGTTATCTGACCGAGGCCTTACACTGGCTTATCGGTCCACCCCTTTAAAAATATGGTCAGTTACAACCAACATATCAATGTACTGTTTACTAGCGTACTAATAACACATGCAACACATAGGAATCTCCATTAATGTACAAATAAGACACAGGTACAACATGAGGGTATCATTCTTGAGTATATTAGTTGACCAATAAGACACATGCACAGATCTAGCACTTGGAGGTGAAAGGTGAACATAGCTAGCTAACCTTTGTTCCCACTATGTAACTATCACACAGAATAGGGTGGCAGCACACTACTGAAGTATCCAATTCTGCTAAAGAAAAAAAAGGGGGGAATGCATGGGACTCAAAGAGAAGTCCCTTTAACCGAGGTCCTAAATAGAGCGTTGTGTCTTTTGTTCCAATACACGGAAGCCACGATTAACATTACCTTTATAAAGAAAAAGTAAAAAAATGTGTTGTGCTATTTATAGCTGTGGTATTTATACATTAAATACTTTTAAGGTCGATGTTGGGAGGAGGCGAAGTAAGAGAAGACAGGGAGACAGTAGTGGAGGCAGGGAGACAGTAGTGGAGGCAGGGAGACAGTAGTGGAGACAGGGAGACAGTAGTGGAGACAGTAGTGGAGACAGGGAGACAGTAGTGGAGGCAGGGAGACAGTAGTGGAGGCAGGGAGACAGTAGTGGAGGAAGGGAGACAGTAGTGAAGGCAGGAAGACAGTAGTGGAGGCAGGGAGACAGTAGTGGAGGCAGGGAGACAGTAGTGGAGGAAGGGAGACAGTAGTGGAGGCAGGGAGACAGTAGTGGAGGAAGGGAGACAGTAGTGAAGGCAGGAAGACAGTAGTGGAGGCAGGGAGACAGTAGTGGAGCCTGGGAGACAGTAGTGGAGGAAGGGAGACAGTAGTGGAGCCTGGGAGACAGTAGTGGAGGAAGGGAGACAGTAGTGAAGGCAGGGAGACAGTAGTGGAGGCAGGGAGACAGTAGTGGAGCCTGGGAGACAGTAGTGGAGGAAGGGAGACAGTAGTGGAGCCTGGGAGAGTAATAGAAGCATGGAGACAGTAGTAGAGACAGGGAGACAGTAGTAGAGGCAGAGAGACAGTAGTGGAGGCTAGGAGACAGTAGTGAAGGCAGGAAGACAGTAGTGGAGGCTGGGAGACAGTAGTGAAAGCAGGAAGACAGTAGTGAAGGCAGGAAGACAGTAGTGGAGGCATGGAGACAGTAGTGAAGGCAGGAAGACAGTAGTGAGGGCAGGAAGACAGTAGTGGAGGCAGAGACACAGTAGTAGAGGCTGAGAGACAGTAGAGGAGGCCGGACGACAGCAATGGAGACAGAAAAAGTAGTGAAGGCTGGGAGACAGTAGTGAAGGCTGAGAGACAGTAGAGGAGGCAGGGAGACAGTACTGAAGAGAGGGAGACAACAGTGGAGACAGGGAGGCTGCAGTGGAAAGCAGAAAACAGTAGTGAAGTCCAAGAAACAGTAGAGTCCAAGAAACGTGAATAAAGTCATTGAAACAGTAGTGGAGAGCGAGAAACAGGAGTGTAGTGCATGAAACAGGAGTGTAGTGCATGAAACAGGAGCGTAGTGCATGAAACAGGAGTGTAGTGCATGAAACAGGAGTGTAGTGCATGAAACAGGAGTGTAGTGCATGAAACAGGAGTGTAGTGCATGAAACAGGAATATAGTGCATGAAACAGCAGTGGAGTGCATGAAACACTAGTGGAGGAAGGTAAAGCAATATGAGTGGGCACAGGGGCTCACCTTGTGGTCGTCAGGGGGATACCTGCGCAGTAGCTCCGGGGGTTGTACAGGAGCTGCGCGGCCGGGGGTGCGCGCCCCCACCACCACCATGTAGTCCAGCAGCCGCGGACACAAGAGCCGCCGCTGCGCCTCCGTCGCCACTGCCGCACAACACATACACAAATTTTAAATTTAAATCACATCAGATGTGATACTATCACTTGCAAATTTCGCTCCGGCAACTCCCAGAGTGCATCCACAATGCATTTGGCTCACCTACGTCACAACCCTAGAAGATTCTTCTAAGAACCGTTCCATCTGGTTCACCTATATTACATCCCTGGAAGATTATAAGTACCGTTCCATTTGGCTTACCTATATTACAACCCTGGAAGATTCTTGAAAGAACCCATCTGGCTTACCTATATTACAACCCTGGAAGATTCTTGAAAGAACCCATCTGGCTTACCTATATTACAACCCTGGAAGATTCTTGAAAGAACCCATCTGGTTCACCTCTATTACAGCCCTGGAAGATTCTTGAAAGAACCCATCTGGCTTACCTATAGCTACCCAAATGAGTCTTATATATTTTCTTATTTAAGTGTGAAATAATGACATTAATGTATAAAGTAATGACCATCTGGGTGTGAGGTAATGATTATCAAAGTGTGAGGTAATGACTATCTGGGTGTGAGGTAATGATTATCAAAATGTGAGGTAATTATAAAAATATGTGGCAATAACTATGTAATTACGTCTGTGGTAATGACTGTAAAGTCTGTGGTAATGACTATGTAAAGTCTGTGGTAATGACTCAAAGTCTGCAGCATTGACTAAATGGAGGCCACTAGTTGCTAAAAAAATATTAATTCTGAATAAGAGGTCTTTTAAACAATCTAATCAAAATAAATGCACACATATCAAATTAGCCAGGCATCTTCCACCTAACTCGCTGTATTAGATCAATCAGCCAGGCATCTAACTCGCTGTATTAGATCAATCAGCCAGGCATCTTCCACCTAACTCGCTGTATTATACCAAATAAGTCAGATATCTACTGTTTATCTTGCATTAATGTTCACAGACAGACCATAATCTAGATATCTTGAGTTACCTCACATTAATGTTAGATCAAATTAGCCAAACATCTACCCTGTTGTCACACAGTAAACACAGATGCTGTAATAATGTTGGTAGAGTTACCGACAATATGTTGGGTAAAGGGATACCAACATACTGGGTAAACGGACATAGTACCTATGTTGTTAAAAGCACAGATGCTGTGGTAAACCTACTTGTATCATGCGGGGTGAGATGATACAGACGTGATGGGCTTCAGTCAGTAGGCCGCTTGCTGTGGGCTTCAAAAAGCGTGCTATCACCTGGGGCCAGTAGGCTGGAGTCAGTGGGCCTCAACTGAGGGCCGGTGCCAGTACTATGGGCCACACCAGTGGGCCACTACTGACTGACACTGGACCTACCACCACTAACACACGAGGCCTGGGGAGGGGTGGAAGGAGTGACTACCCTGCTATTTTGTTAGTTGCTGCTGCTGTCTTGATGCTTAGTGCTAGTCGTTTGGGGGACTCGGCTGTTGACACTTAACTCCACCACCCATCATCCACTGCAGAAACATACAAAATACAACATATTAACACTTAATGGTTCTGCCTTAACATCTGGCATTTGATAGAACTAAGCATCGCTCCCTTCCCCCATCCCCGGCGGTTCGGTCTGTGGCCAAGCTTCTTTTATATGAACATGAGAAAAAAAATCACTGCGACAACCTACTACCTCTGTTTCACGTTCATATGACTGGATGGTAGTATCTTCTTGAATGGTTGTTATATACCAACCTACTACCTCTGTTTCACGTTCATATGACTGGATGGTAGTATCTTCTTGAATGGTTGTTATATACCAACCTACTACCTATGTTTCACGTTCATATGACTGGATGGTAGTATCTTCTTGAATGGTTGTTATATACCAACCTACTACCTATGTTTCACGTTCATATGACTGGATGGTAGTACCTTCTTGAATGGTTGTTATATACCAACCTACTACCTATGTTTCACGTTCATATGACTGGATGGTAGTACCTTCTTGAATGGTTGTTGTATACCAACCTACTACCTGTTTCACGTTCATATGACTGGATGGTAGTACCTTCTTGAATGGTTGTTGTATGCCAACCTACTACCTATGTTTCACGCTCATAAGACTTGAATGGTTGTTATTTAACAATGTTAAGGTTGTTCCTAACTACACAGTATTATAATACAAAATATTGTCCACAATTTTAGATGATTTATTTCATCGTAACAAGTATGTATACTTTTGTGAACCCTGATAACACGACCATTCAGTTTTTGGCTGTGTGATTTATATCAGTTTTTTTTTACTATACAGGAGGCTTGTGGTTAGGTTGCAGCACCTTCGGCTCACAACCAGAGGATTTGGGTTCGATCCTGAGTAGGGTCAAGACGCTGGGTATATTTCCTTACACATGTCCTCCTAGCAGTAAATAGGTATCTGGATGTTGCCTGACTTTTGTGGATCACATCCTGAGGGAAAAAAAATAACAGAACCCCAGTGGAAAACCACTCTGGCTTTCTTAGATAGTCTTAAGTTATTAAACCTCCGAGTTAATAAACGAATGAAGTCTATTTCAACACGATGCTGATAGATGGAAGCTAATTTATTACTTCACTCATACTGAGTGATTCAAACTCAAGTCAACCGTCTGAATGATGGTGAAAGCATTACTTCTTTTGGGTCACCCTACCTTGGTGGAACATGGCTGGTGTTATACTGCAAGTTGTGTGATGTGACACTGTGCCTATCTCCATGTTTCAGGGAATATCTCACCTTGAAACAACTGTAACATCAGTTATTCTCTCCTTCCTAGGATCAAATCTAAACCTTCTATTTCCGCTGTATGACACATCTGGGTTTAGCGACATCGTCCTTCAATTAACAATGACAGGCGACATCTAAGTGAGGAGAGCCACACAGAAGATAGTATAATTGAGACATGATGACTGGTTCCCACCAGCAACTAGTGAAGAATGAGACATAATATGCAACATCTGGGTATCGTGATTGTAGACGTTTCACCATCCAGTGGCTTTATCAATACAAATTCAAGGACATAATTGGAAGACTGTAGAACTATATACAGAAGATGAGATAATTAGTCCCTCATACCTGTGCTTAGTTCTACTGTCTTCCAATTATGTCCTTGAAATTGTATTGAAAAAGCCACTGGATAGCGAAACGTCTACAATAGATACCCAGATGTTGAACATGTGTATGTACAAGCAGCTAGTGAGAACAGACATCCCTGAGCCAACACAACTAATTACTCCACATCACAACTTGTGTAGTCATCAGGACGAGAAGAAACTTCTAAGTAAACTGTACGTATCCTGAAGAAGAGGAGAATAGACAGGATGGTGAAGGTTGAAAGGAGTGAGGCAGGATGATAAAGGTCTGCAGGACAAAGGAAGACAGACATATTGATAAGCAGGAAAACAATCAAAACAAGACGAGAGGCTGGGGACGCCTTTGATACGACACTGTGGCTGCTTGATTGCTTGCCTGGCAGCTTTTGCTGGTCACTGCCACTAACAGTCCGTAATTGGCTGCTTTCACGTAGCTCACCTCTTACCAGCCAATGAATCTGGATGGCTTCGGAGTAATTGGAATTTCGGAAATTGCTCAATTTTAGTCTTATCTAAATTAAAGTTTGGAGGTCACAATCCAGCTTCTTTTTCTGACCAAGATCTCCTTCACAATAATGTTAATGTCTGGAGGACAAGTATCTTCACCAGGAGCTAGATCACCCTGGCTGTGATGGATATGTGGGTCAGCGGGCCACCAGCAGCAACAGCCTGGTTGACCAAATAATCACCAGACGAGCCTGGCCCATGGCCGGGCTCAGGGAGTAGAAAAACTCCTGGAACTCACCAAAGGTATATCATTAAGTTATCCAGTCGATTAACTCACTCCTGGTATCGCTGTATAGTTTGTTTTGATGACATTGATAATTCAACGGGAAATAGAAGTTTCATAATGTCTTTGATGAGCTTCATAATCCTATCTTAAAGGATTTTCACACACGTTAACAAATCTTAAGTTTTCTTCGACGTTCTTTTTTATTATGTTGTCAGTTTGTGGTCTCAGGTCCTTGTTGATTTCCCTCGTCTATCTCGACTTAGGTTCATCTCTCCCTCCCATCACTGGAAATTCCCAGGATGCACGTCTACTGTTGGCAGCTCTTTTCAGTGACTCGCTTCTCTGCTTTTGAACTCGCGCTCGCTGTTTTGTTAAGCATTTCCATTGCATTTAGATACCACTGCTACGTACGCCGACGGCTCTTAGTCCTTTGCTGGAGTGAGAGACCGGATATGCTGCTGTTTTTTCTCGAGGCGTATTTTCCATTAATGAGTACCACAGTCGCCTAGTGTTCTACATGCAGAATATAACCTCGCTGCAGTTATTCAAATTACTGCTATGATCGCCTTGTCCAATGTCGTTGTCTAACTCTCAAAGTGCCCTGAGTCACATTATCACTAGCATTACTATTACTATTATAATCGTGGTTAGCGCTTCTTTCTGATTATAATAATATTCGTGGAGAAGCGCTAAGCCTACGGCAGCATTAAGTCACCTCCCTAAAACTAAAAGCGATCAAGGGTCAAAAAGCTCAAGGAAATGATCTTTTGTTTTAATAAGAGAGTTTGAGCACATATATACAATGAAAACCCACTCTAAGCCTCGTTATACCACGCTGCCTGCACACCTTGGAATCTTGCAATATCCACTAAATGTGATTCTATGCAGGTTTTTAAAGATATCTAACCTCACCCCACAGACAGTGTTAGATTATAACTCTTGTCCCCCATCTCTGATTGAATCGCAGTTGGCGACTATGTTAACAGTCAAAAAGTCTCCAGGTATGTGGTATACTGGATGATCTCAATGGGGATCCTAGTGGTTAAGAATTAGAGCACAGGACTTACGTTTTGACCTGCCAGCTGGGAGTTTTCTGACAACTCTCGAAAAGTTACGATAAGATATTACAGTAGTTATTCCAGATTCACTGATGATGAGGAGTTACACTCATCACTATCAGGCATGAGATGAAATATCTATAAAAATTTGCACCGAGTCGCAGTTGGTAGGCAAGGATAATATTCCAAAATCAACAGTATGTTGCATGTTGAATATTTCATCATTGGGTATCCTCATGGTATAGTGGTGGAGCTTGTGTTTTGACTTGCAGTGTTCGAATCTCCCGATAACTCTCGATTTTTTTTTTTAAGTTATTCCGCATTCATATATACAGTACATAAAGAGAGAGGCCGGAGATCAAAGATTTCCGGTTTATTGCCCTAAGCGATTAGCAGCACCAATTTCTGAATGATTCCTGTATAAAGAAAACATTTTATTTTTGTCAGATTTGATTAGGGTAGAATATATAAACGTGCAAGTAAATAAATAAGAAAAATAAGAAAAAATGCCGCGACGTCATGAATTAGGTATTTCGAGGAACTAACATTTGCATGCACATCACGCCTAGTATGAGGACGGGTTGTATTCTGCCTGGGTAATTAATGTTTGTGAGCCTTACATCAAACAATTTGTGTACCTTCATTTTGGAAATTATTGTAAAAGACAATATTAAGTTTGCCCGAAATACTCTGCATACAAAGGGGCTCCTGGCATGTACACCCAACATGACTCACGAAATCATAATGACACGATTGCCCGGTGGCTAACGCGACGGTCTGGAGTTTTGAGACTCTGACAGCGGGTTCAAATCCCGCCCGTGGTATGGTACACCCAACTATTAAATTCCTTTGTACGACTGTGTATCATGTCAAAATAAATTTCTTATTCTTATAAGTATCTTCTAAACAACCCATCCTAAACGAACGTCAAATTTCGACGTTAGTTCAAGACCGTCGGTGTAGTGAATGTTATTTTTTTTCGGCTTTAAGAAACTTATGTACCACATCTAATGAGGTGGTATTTAATTTTTTCTTTTTCTTTCAGATATAGTTTGCCTCCAAAACGGTAGACTAATGTGTTCCTTGCCTAGCTTACTTTTTTGAAACTTCTGATGCGGCTCCATCTGTAGGATTTTTTTTTATTTTTTGGCAATAACGTCAGCAAGCAGCTTTTTCGAGGTCCAGTCCCTGGACCTTGACTACAGTCCACAGGATGGATAATGGGGTAGATAATAAAAATATTAAACTAACTCATGGTAAAGATGCTAAGATATCTCCTGTGGCAGGTCACGTGTAGGGTGGCTTCATCAAGCAAGTCTTTTACTATCTATAGGATTGCAGCTTGGCGTCTGATTTCAACAGTTCTCGGGAAGATTTTCCAGGAGCCATGAGTTTTGGGTTATAACTTGGTTTGTCTTGCTCTTACGTTGGGCGTCGAGTCAGACAAATTGACAGCTGTAATTGTTTTGCCACCTCAGGTGCTACTATCTGCTCTGGTCCATGGATTAACTAACAATACCTGGAACTTCAGTAACTCGCCGGCTGCAAGTTCTAGCACTCAATAGCTATTAGTACAATATACCAAATGGCTAGAAATATTAAT